CACACACACACTTTCTCTCTCTCTGTTTTTCAAATTTACTAGGCTGAATGATGGTCAGTTTCAGGCGAGGCTTCTATTTGGCCTTTGCCAGTGGAATTGCATGATAATCCCTCTTACCACAATGTACCAGTCAGGATTCCAGAGAAACAGAACTACTTAGAGATACACATGCACACCACAAAAGTGCATGAATCCTGTATTCCACTGACTATTTTAACACACTTTTTTTTTTTTTTTTTTTGGCCAAGGTGCTGGGTTTGAACTTGCCACCTCCAGCATATGGGACCGGGGCCGTACCTTTTTGAGCCACAGGCACCACCCCCCATTGACTATTTTAAATTTACTGAGTCTCATATCTATTTTTTACTACCATGATACTTGGAACAGAGGAGAGAAATTGAGTTGTTATAAATAAATGAATGATAAACTAAGTAACTTGTTGATGCCAAGTAATACCTATATATGAACTTCTTACCAGGTCCTTAATATGGCAACAAAATACCCACTATGGTTTACAGTAAGAGGAAATTATACCACTGGGCTTTAGAATGCTCAGAACACAACTGAGCATTATTTGTAAGACCTTTCCTTGAAAGGAGAACCAAAGCACTGGAGTTAATTATGAGAATGTTGACAAGAATGGTATTAATTTATATATTTTAATCAGAGCAAAGAAATAATGGCTCTTTAGCCTGAAAATATTACATGTTATTGGGCGTGGGAGGGCATGAAAGAAAGACGAATTGCCATCTTCAGAGAGATTCTTCCATGTGTTGCTAAGAGAGTAAAATGAGTCTCAAGGGGAAGCTGTAGAGATGGCTTGAAGTTTAGTAGGAGACAAATATTTTAAGAAATAAAGCTCTGAATAAAATAAAATGGCCAGCTCTTGCCTCATTCTCTCATTTACACATTTATAAGCATTTGTTTTGACTGCCTACTTTGTACTAAGCTTTTAGTGGGTAGATGGGATATAGAAATGAATTAAGTATGGCTGATTTCCACTTAAAAAACTCATGCTCTAGGGGGAAAAAACTCGAAGAGAAATAACTAGAATCAAGTGCTCTGTACTTAATGACAAAGAATAATACTAGGATCCCAAAGTGGGTAGGGCACATTATACATGGGCATGGAACATGTGATAGCAGCAATATGCCCACTGAGGTTTCAGGGCATGGAAGGAGTTTAAGTCAAGGCCAAAAACTCACCCTTCTGCACCACTGTGGGGTAGATTCCTACATGAATAAAAGTTGGCTCTATCTGCTCTTCTCTACTCTTCTCTGATCTACAAATCCTTTTCTGTTTCGTTGTAGGCTTTATAACTAACTGGAATTATCCCATCCACCTGTTTGTTAATACCCTTCTTGTCTTTCCCCCACTTCCTGCAATAAGAAAACATCGTTCACAGCCTGGCACAGAGCAGGTGCTCAATAAACACCTTTTGAATGACAAAAGAAAACTCATTCTGGATTTCTCTATGACTCTAATATCTTTTATTTCTATGGTTCTTCGAATAAGATGCTTCTACTAATTTTCTTATACTTCATGTAGCAGTACCCAGGGTGGCAAATATAAAAATCTCACTTGGAAGAACAGTCCTATCCAGGTGTCATTTTACACTGAAATTCTCCAGGTGGTCTAACTTAATGGCAGTAAGACTTAAAGCTTGACTTTAGTGATTGAAGGGCAACATGCTGCAGCTCTCTCATCAGAGTTGGTAAGCATTTCAGCCAAGGACTTGTGATTAATGGAGAAACAGAAGCATGTAGGCTTATCTGTCCCCAGGCTCTGCTACATAAACATGAATGCAAATTTTCACAAGGAAGCAAGTTTTTCTCTTCCTTTGATTCTCAATGCCTCATACCCAGAAGATATGCTTGAAATGTTGAACGCCAAATTAGGCTTTTACAAGGCACAATAACAGATCTTTCAGCCTAAACCACCTCACAGAGGTATAGAAATCTGCAAGTAAACAAATAGGCAACTTCTGGATTGGAGAAAACTGGGGTTATGGAGTAGCTATTAGTATAACCCATGCTACTCTGAATCTCTGGGAGTTCAAAACCAACCCTGAAAGTAAATCATCACTTTCTTTCTTTTTTCTTTTTTTAAGTTTCTTTTCACCAAGTAATGGATATGGGGGAGAAAAGTGTTGTGGGAGGTTCTGACACATACGTGGTATACTTGCCTTGTGAGTTTTAATTCATAACATTTAACTATAGGACCTTAAAAATTAGTATTTCCAAGCATACAACAAAAATGAGTGACCTTCTCCAGCTTAGATCTATGCTTCTGATAATTTGGCTGTAAGTAGCAGCAGGAAACTGACCACACAATGAGGCTGCTGCCCGAAGTGGGAGCATTTGAAGACATTATTCACACACTAGGAGACACAGTCCAATAGTTATTCTGCCACTGATCTGGGAGGGGAAAATCCCTGGCAAAGATTAAACTCAAATATTTTTTTCTTTCTAAAACATACTTTCTTAGCACAGAAATGCCTCTGAATGTAGGTACCAGTGTGTGCCTGATGTACTGAAGTAGACGTATTTCACAGGCTATCATGTGATATCCCAGACCCTGTCTCTCATTCTGCAAAGTCATGGCTTTCCTTTCCCATAACTTCTATAATTCATATGGTCTTCCTCTTTCACAAGGTGACAAAATATTCCTTTTTTCTACTCACATACTGCTTGACCAGCCATCCTGGCTTTCTACTGTGTTGATAGTTCAATTCTGTTATGTTTTTGTGGTGTCCCAGAAGAGTGTATCAGATCCACAGGGTCTCTGAGAAAGAGGCTTCGGTGTAAAATGTTAATTATCTATATACTTAGAGTGTTTCATTTTTGAAAGCACATGTTAGTGAAAAGATCATGGTATTTAGTATCTCAAAGACTCTGGGTTTAAGTTCTGCCTTTTACTGAAAGTGTAATTGCTGGTAACGTACTTCACTACTTAAGATTCATTTTCCACTATAAATTATTATATTCATGAGATAAACAAACATGAACCACGTATAGTTCTTGCTTTCAAAAGGTTCATGATGAAGTGAAGGAGAAAGGCATAAAAAGAATATTTTAGCACAGTAAAACTCTAAAATATAAGCAAGTAATAAGCTATCTTAGAAATACTGAGGAGGGGAAGGATTTTGTCCTACATAAGACACTTTTACCTAAGTGCAGTTCTTAATTCATAAAATAATAATGAACTAGCCATACTCTCTCTACATATATTTTCTTTGGATAATTTCTAGATCTCAGTTCTTCAGGATTAGAATATATGTGTTTCTTCCTTCAAAATGCAGATCCAGTTTAACCTTCACTATAAATTCTACTTGCCTACTTCCTTCTGCATTGCTAAATCCTTTTCTCCAAAGCTCTTAAAAACATGACTGAAGTAGCTCATGTTTTATTTCTTATTCCTATACTGGGTTTGAATTTATTTTAATTGCTTCCTCTGTCTTTCCTTCACAGTAAGATTAAAAGTTTCTGGAAAGTATAAGTACACACAGACTTATTTTCACCTCCTTTCATTATACCACATATAGTCTACCTAGGACATGATCAATAAACAGTGAATGATGCACTGTCAAGAGATATCTTTGTCACTCATGGTCCTGTATATGAGAGGAATCCTATAGGCTCCCACTGTTGACTGGGGCTAATTAACTTCTTGACTAAAATGATTATTCACCTATCCTCTGCAGGGCTTCTTGTACCACTAGTGTTCAAGTGAACTTCAGCACAACTATATGTTTCAAACTTATCTGTATCTCAGTTCTTATGCACACATTAAATAGTAACAGAAATATATTATAAAAGTTCAGACATCATAAGAAATGTATTATTTCTTACAATGATTAAGGACTTCCAGAAAAATAAGTATTCCTATGACTTCTCACAT